TAATTGAAATTGTGATTTAGTGAATGGGAGCTGGAAGACAAACCTGCTTCCTGGAAAGAGAATTACTCCTATCGGACCGTTGGGCTTTCTGCCTGTGCCAAGTCAACTTAGTGCCGCATGTCTTCTGTGCTATCAAGTCCTTGCTTCTCTGATAAATTCTGTGTTTTGGCTCTCAGTGGAGAGGATGGAAGAAGGGTACCCATCATCATACCCATAGAGAAGAGGATAATGTGGATAAAGCATGTGATCCAGGACCCACAGTCTTTGAAAGAGAAGTCTCTCTTTTTAACCTTTGGTTAGCAGCAGCAGAAAACAAATAGAACTAGCAATAGGATGGAAAATATGTGGAGGTGGTAGGAGTCCAGTTGAGAGAGAGGAGTCTTATCCTTGCTTTTGTACAACGTGTACTCAAGAAATGTATTAGTTGATTGTAGAATTGCACAGTCATACATTTATTTTAACAGAAATTTACTAAGTCTGGAAAGTAGTAAATCTGAATTGTGGTCTACGCTTGTGTCTCCCAACCCTGTGGCTTTAGGAGACAAATTTTTGGCACAGTTTTTTTCCCTGGAGGGAAGACATTTCCTCTCTTTCTGACAATTGCTGTTGTGGCTCCACACAGTTCTTTCTGTCCTTCCCATTCCTTTATGCCATGGGTTTAATTTTTAAGTCAGTATTTAGTGTAATTTAGGTTGAGAAGCACTGGTTTATATGCCAGTATTGGTATCACTAGCTCTGGCACACTGACCAGGCTGAAGTAAAACTGGGAACATGCAGAGAAAATTGATGATTGTCAGGATGCACAGCCATCAACACCAGCATTTGATTATTTTTCTGTAACAGATCAAATGCCATTCTTTTGAGTTTTAGTGTGGGCCTGGGGAGAAATAGTAGATTAAAAGCTTTGCAAGAATTGGAATGGAGGGCCATATATTTCTTAAAATATTTATATCAGAGTATTGAGAAATTCTAATCTATTCCTATGTAACATTAGGTAAATTATTTCCTTAGGAACAGAACTTTAATACCTTTGCAAAGAGCACTCAGGAAAAAAAAAAAAGGTTGTTTAATTTCTTTTCCCCTAAAAATTAAGGCATCTTTTAAGTTTGGGTGTATATATGTGTAGTTTCCTATTGCCTCCAGGAAAAGTTATATAGCACTGGTCAACTAAAAAGTTAAGGAAGAGAGGTGCAGAAGTGTAGTATATTTTAAACTTAATCAAATTTAATGAAAAAGTCAATCAGGACCTTGCTTATAGACTGTGGTTTTGCAAATTGGGAGTTATTGTTTGGCAGACACTGCCTACTTCTTCAGAGAATGACGTGCTTATATTATTGGTAAAGATGAGAAACTAGAGAAAGTCTTACTTATGCCTAAATAATTTTATTTTTTTATTTTTTATTTTTTTGGCAGCTGGCTGGTACTGAGCCCTT